GGAACTAGGTGTCTTGTCTTGTCCTCTGAGCCTAGCATACTGCATAGAACTTAATACATGTTTAACTATTTGTTGAAATGAAGAAGGTGAAAAGCAAGGGAAAGAAGGATAGAAGGGAGGAAGGAAAAAAAGGAAGAAAGAAGAAAGTGGGCTGGGGGAAGGGGGAAAACAGGAAAGGAAGGAAAAAGGACAGAGGCAAGTTTTCAGCTGTGGAAAATGTGGGAATGTGACAAATTGATGCCTAATTTTAAGAAAATGAAAAGGATATGGCCTGTTTTAATTGGTAAAGTTTCTGGATAATTCAAAATTAGGCATCTTTGAGCAAAGACAAAAACATGGGGAATTGTGTTTGAGTATCAAGCACTGAGTTCTCCGTGATTGATAGCATTAGCTTAGATCTTGCTTTATGTAGCTTGAAGGGCTTCCTGCTGGGTTCTGAAATGAAAATAATATCAAATGAGTATTTTACAAGATTATTTCCAGCTTGTGATTAATAATAATGTAGTTACCCATGCAAAATGGTCATCAGCAAAACACCGATGTGCTATTCACACTTTAATCACAGGCTTTGTCACAGTCTATCAACACAGTCTCCTCTTTGTGTCTACATTTTGTTTTTTTCAATTAGAAAAATGCCTTGAGAGAGAGAAAGGTCATCTGTTACTTTCAAAATTAAATTCATTTAAAACTGTATTGCAAAATCCTGTTAATTTGTTTGTTGGTTTTGTTATCTTTATGAAATAAAACCTACCAGAAACATCATTCTTTTAATCAAGTGACTTGGAAATCTATAAGTTATTTGGACATCATGCTGAGTAAGCTGGGTAAGAAAGTGGTATATTGGAAAGACAGGAGCATTGTGGGTTTAAATGCTCATCCCGACCCTATTGAAATCTGAATGGCCTCTGATACGTCACTTAACTTCCCTGGGACTAAGTTTCTCATCTATAAATTGAGTGAATCTTTCAAATTCAATCTCTAGGAACTTATTAATTGACAGTACAGCACTATCAATTAACTGCATTGAAATCACAGCTCTATTTTTTCAAAGGTTCTGTCTCCTTGAGTCAGTAACTTAGACTTTTTGATTCTTCTTTTAATCACCATAAAGTAGGCATTATTATAATACAAATTTCCCACAGTTTGGGAGACAATTAAAAATAAAATACATATAAAATAGATAGCAACAACATTTACAAGTATTAGTGCTGGTTGTTGTTGACCGCTGCCTGCTGATAAATTATTTTTGACCTTTTCATCAGACTAAATTAATAAAAAGAATTTAGAAGCAATAATTTGTGAATAAAATATGACCAAACCTACCATTTCCCTAAAATTACTGACAGAAAACGCTAAATTTGGCATTTCTAAGGAAGAAAGCCTCTTAACTTTGATTATTGATGATCTACCTGTTTGTACATTCTTGATTATTATATTCTGTGTTAGTGTGGGAAAATGAGTGACAGATACAAAGCTCACAAAATGTATGAAAACCAAGCAATCATTTAACAAATGCACTGAACTCACTAAATGCTGAGTACTCTTCTAGTTCTGTTGGCCACCTAGAGGGCTGTGCAACTTGTCTCCATGGGGAAGATGAAGCGCATCACTGAGATAACGTATAAAAAGCAACATGTCAACAAGTGCAAATCAATAGCCTATAAAATGAGTGCCTAAGTGCTCAGGGGATCCTTTGCAAAGCTTTTTTCAAAGCAGTAAGATAAACTAAAAGAGTAGTCGTGATGTTCATAAGGAAAGACAAAGAATACCAAAATTCAATCACAGAGCATTGAGGGCCAGACCAACACACAGGAAAACAGAGTTTGTACACGTTAGAATTTCTTCCAAATTTTTTTCCAAATTTTATTTTGGTCTTGTCTTGTTTTAAATTAATGTACAACAGTGATTTATCAATCACTTCTGCATACCATGTCTCTATCTTGAACCTCTTTGCACATTGTCAAAAATTCATTTTAGAACATTTAAATCATTATTGAGGGATAATTTACATATAAGAAAATACATTCAGAATCCATTTTTAAAAGAGTAAGTTTCTCAAAAAATGATGAAAGCATTAAAGAAAATAGTTTGTTTTCATATTATACGTCCCAGTAATAGCAGAGTTTCAAAACATAAAATAATTAAATCCTTTGAAAATCATATTGATTGTAGTAAAAGACATCACTTACTATCTAACAGTATTTTAAATAATTGTCATTATCTTTTGTTTTCATTATATTTTCATTTAATAACGTTTGGAGAGAGATGAGTGAAAAATTATTTAAAGCATGCTTTTTCATAATGAAAATTGATGTTAGGATACAGTTTCAAACCAATGTCATGGAACTGGTACTTCTTATGGCCCCTCATAGACTTCTCTTCCAGGAGAATACATGCATTTAAATTTATATATCCTTTTAGAGAAAACAAATTGAATAATCATAAAAAAAATTGTGTAAAACAACTTGCACAAAAAAATAGGATCTCCCCCACCACCCCCCACAACACACACAAAAGTTTGTTATCTTGGATGTGATGCAGAGCACACAGGATTGTACGGCGATTCCTTAAACACAGTAGCTGCAAGGCAATGCTTGTGTTTGATGCTGTAGATGTTATTGTACTATCAAAACCTAATTGGTTGGATTGACTGGTTCATTTTTTAACTCGGCTACATGAGGTTATGGAAGAAGATGTAAGAGTTACACAAACCTATCACATGCAATAACAACCTCACAGGCATTAGCTATGTGAATTGATCCTTCTATATTGTAGATTTTCCCTCAGCCTATAGTGCTTCAGTCACTGACAAACTTCATGAATTTCCCTGCTCTGGTCGCACAGCAGGTTGTTTATAAAGTAAAGCTAATTATCTTGATTGGATGTAATGTTGCTGCCTTTCTTGGCTACAAGAAAATGTTAAATCAGAATAGAATAGGTAGTAATCTTTTCATGAAGAGAATATAAGTCTTCTTGCTTTGTACCTGCAGTACCAAATCCCATGCCTGGCACAACAGAGATACTCAAAATCTGTGAAATGAATAAGAGGGCTAATGAATAAATAAATGAACAAAGGTCAGTGAAAATCATCACTGCTGAAAAGAAAATACAAAACTTACTGCTTCTGAGGAGGGATCAATAGCATTATTTCTGTGAAATAAAGCCATTTTATAAAGCAAGTAGCTATACTGACTTATTTTCACTTTTAAAATATTAAGTGGCAGAACCAAAGTATGAGAAGTGGCACTAAGTCACAGATGAGTGCTTCCAAAGCAAGTAGCTTTCAAAAATTTCTCACTTCAAAGCCTGTTTGGAAGCTTAGAAATTATGGTTATAAACTCTTCCCTGTTGTCTGGTCCAGTAGTATATGGCTTCTTTTAATATCCTTCATGGCTGCCAAAGAACCAAAAAAGCTTTACTGCTCATGAAAACAGGTTTGTTTATAAGATAAGTGATACGATAATTTTCAGATGATCTTCAAAAAAAAATAGGAAGTAGAAAAGATTTTGGCATGAATAAAAACAATTTGCATCTGGAAGGTAATAGGTTAATAAGTATCTTGGATCGACAAATACAAAAATTTTAGACGTGTGTATGTTGAGTGGTTGTGGATACTTAAAGGTATCTAATAGCATCAGCATAACACTCCTGTTTTGAATTGCAATATGGTCATTTAGTGTCATATATACATCTCTTTGTTTAAGGAATTATTTTGAAGTGCTACATTCTAGTCCAAGGCATGTGTTCAACTTGAACCCTTTGTCATCTTAGTATTCTTGCTGAAACAGCATAATAGGATATCATACTGTTGTACCTTTTAACAAAGTCTCCGCACTGACTTCTGGGAATATGTAAACTAATCACAGGTGCATGAGGATTTATTATATCCTTGCTTGTTAAAATCAGTTTTTGCACCTGTGTCCATGAATCTTCAGAACATAGTTATTCACAAGTCTCCCTACAGACTTAGAATAACCTTTAAGCCTTTTCTGTGCTACTTAGAAAATAATAGTAATACATTTGTTTTTGTGTATGTGTTACTAAATACAGTTGTTATAGTTATAAAATAATCTAATAGTTTTAAAAGCTACCCTGGGAAGATCAATGAGCAATTCTGTTCATTAGTATCATCCTAATCTTCTATTGAAGAGTTACTTATGTGTCAGGTAACAGTCCAGTAAAGGTTACTGATTACACATAGGTTTTCTCTGTATGAATGAAAGTCAGGCATGCTAATTAAGTTTAAATGCCATATTTTACTCATGGATGTAAACAAGTGAATCATTAAATATGTGGTACATTGCCCCCAAATTAGCTGTCTAATGACTTTCTTGGGTCTGGTCATTTCTTTGTGTACCGACTCTGGCTATGATGTGTTTACACTGGTTACTGTCTTATAGCCTGTATGTTGACATCAGTAATGGTGGCTGCTGAATTTACAACACCTTACATATGTCCCTCAAAGTTGTTTCTCACAGATTATCATAGAGAGGTGACCCAGTATTTATATCAGGAATATTGACATTGGCTGGAGCTTCGGAAGTCACAAAGGAAATCGTCCTTGACCCACAGTCTTGTGGATTTTGCTCTAACTGCTAACAGGTTTTGCCCTGTTGCATCTCATTGCCCAGCTAGCCTCAGGGTTTTCTGGGTAAAGCCAGAAAAATACTCTGAGTATTCCAACTGGTCACCTACCCGAAGGAGAGGTTGTACATAATATAGCATGTGTAAGTTTTAATATCACTAACGTTCATTAATAACTGATGGCTTGAGTAGATTGATAACAGCATGAAGAGGAACATGCTCTTTGCAAAAACACCTCCTGTAGCACATAAACTTCAGTCTTCCAGTTTTAATGTGTATCAGAATCTTGAGAGGCATTTATAGCCCCTCACACACTCCTTTATGATTCCCTTATTGATTAAGTTGTGATGCTTCCTGGACCTAGGACACGGTTCACTATTTTTCAATTAAAATGGAGAAATATCTTGTTGTTGCAGGTTCGTTTCCAGCAGTTGGCTTGTGGGACTCTGAGAGATGCTGCTGCCCATGACATGTTGGAATTATCATGATCAACTACCCAGCTTGGATTTCACCCAGTGGCCAAGAGCTTTGTGTGGGAGACGGCAAGCGTTGGATTTTTAAAAAGAGTAAACCAGGTAAGGTTCAAGAAAGACATCTGATCATTTATCACTTGCTCTAAGGGCTTTAGTGTGCTGCCGAGGTATATGAATAACATATAGCTTTTCTATTTGTTTTCTAAGTCCACTGAGCAGGTTGTTAAAGAATGGGACTCCCTTGGATTTAGGAGAATGCATATAGTAATAATTGAGTCCCTTTACTCTCAAGAGGAGAAAGGAGCTATTTTAAGATACACATAATGCTGGCACATGAACACTATAAAGGCCACTACTATAAAGATTTCCTCTTTAATTATTCTCAACTCTAATGGCATAAACAGTTGTACTTCTGAAGGTACAGTAAAGAAAGTGATGGCGTTAAGCATTTATATTTTACACAATATGGAAGTATCATTTCATAACATATGGTCTTATAAATATGCTTCAAAGATACTCCAGTTTTCTGAAGATTATACCATTGTTCTGCCTTTTATTTCTTTGAATGTATTTATCATTCTAAGTCTATTCACCTGTTATTTAAGATGATGATACAGTGACATACTCTATTATTTTGGCTCTGAGGATTTAAAATATTGCACTCTTATTCAAGTACTCTTTTATCTACTTTTTCTATTACGTGCTGGAAACTATTCTCAACTGTTATCCATATTTTGGTCAGATCATCTTATTTTTAACTCTCTTCCTACCCTAAAACATAAATTAAATTTGTTATCAATAATTCTTCAGGCAATTACCTGAAGAAACTACAATCTGTTCTTGTCTTCTGACTCTAAGACCATCAAATCTTTCACAGTTTCTTTGAATTTTATGCATTGCAAAGTAAGATTTTCCTTAAGTTCAAGTATAGAAACAGAAGAAATCTACATAAAATCTCTTTATTTAGAAAGCAATGAATGGAGATTATTCTATGTTACTAATGCTTGAGCACTTTAAACTTTTGACAAATAGAGCTTTTGTGCTTTCTGAAAATAGAGTAAATGAAATTCAGTCAGTAAATTATAGCCTGACATAATTAAGTGGATATAAAGTCTTTTGAAGTGTTTAAAAACAATCTTTTAAAATTTAATAAACATAAACTTTCAATTCATTAATGACTTATTTGCATATATGATTTCATGAGAGTATATAACCCAAATAGCTACAAATTTAAAAATTTTTTGAAATAGCGTAGATTACCAATCTCATGGCAGAAATGTTTATTTGATGAACTGAGCTGGTGAATAATTTTTTTTGTCCTGTTGAGTGGCAAAGTGTTACTCACATTTAGAGGAGTTCTGACAGTCTGTAAATAAGAGACATCAAAACGTGGGATACATTAGAAGAAAGCTCAACCTGTAATTCTATGCTTCATAGCATTAGCATCTAACCTATAATTGTAGCAAAAATACTTTGAGATAGACTTCCACAGTCTTAAACTTTTAAGTCTTAGAGTTAATCCTAATTATTTTTATTTCCATATTTACAACAAAATTGGATTACATGTCAAAACCTCAGAGTTAGAAAGAAAAACTTTTTAAAAGTTAGATAAAATTAAGTCTGTTTTGAAGGTGAATAATCATAAGGTAATGCAGGTAGTAATTATCTTGTTGCAAAAGCTCTTCTGTTTGTGAGATATGCACTTTCTTTAGAATACTTTATCTTTGTGAACTGTATAATTCATTAGTACAGAGAAAGTGGACAAATAATTTTGATCCAAGTATTATACCACAAAACGTCTCTTCACATAGCCCTTCAAAATGAATTCTGCTGATCAGGATGTACAGGGATAGCCCATTCTACTTTTCTGTATACAAACATACAATTTAGAAGTGTCCTCTGGAATATAAAAGATTTGACAGTGAATTAACATGTTTTCTCAGTTAAAGATGAATTGTTTTAAAGTGAACATAATTTTATGTTATGGTTTTATAGTTTATGTTAGTTAGAAATTTATTTGTGTTCTCTGTTGTATGAATGGCAGTTACATTATTTTATGGTGATGTATGTTAGCTTCTCCGTAAAGTAAAAAGGGTGTCAAGGTGTCCTAATTCTGTTTCTCAGAAGGTTTTAACAAAGCTATAAATATTTGTACTGTTCCTAAGCTTAGAAGCAATTTTTCTTTCTTAAATCATTTTTAAAGTAAAGATTTGCCAAGCGTAGGATTATATTACTCTCTGCTCATACAAAGAAACAATACTAAGCGATAAAGACAGGCTATAAAAAATGAGATCTCTGAAAGCATTTCTGATAATAGTATGCCCCATATAATGGGCTATGCCTTCCCCAAGGCGATTCATGAAAAGCATTTAAATAGCACCTGTGTATTTAATACATCCCTTGCTCTGTGCAGAGACCAATGGGCATTCTCACATGTGCAACTCTTCACATTCTTAGATCTTCTGTAATAAAATCTTGAGAATTTAGTGAGGCAGCTGATTCCCTCATGAAAAATCTCATGTGAATCTTAAATACTTCCTGGCTGCAGATTTATTTGACCTTTAAACACGTTTTGAAAGCCTAACACATGCAAAACAGCATGTGGCCAGAAACAAATTAGCAACCATCACTGCCCTGTCCTCAAGTAGTTCACACCTACCACCCCACCCCACCCCCCCAAAAAAAAAACAAAACAAGGAAAAACCATACACACAAGCCATATGAACAGACACATGAACAGCTCGTTTCAGGACAAATGAATTGAGAGCTTTAATAACATGTTCCAAGCAAAATTATCCAGAAATTAAGAAGAAGACTGTTAAAACTGAGGAATATTAAAAAGTGTGAAGCTTAAGAGGCATTTCAGCTGCACTGCAACCAAGTGGGGGGAGTTTTAATTGATGGAAAACTGGTATGAATGTATTTGAGGCTCAGAGTACAGTCTGACAAAGTCACCATGATGTAAAAATAAATGTCATGTTCGAGGAGTGGAAAGCATGAAACTGGGATATAGGGAGAGATGCAAGAAGTGACTGGACATATAGGTAGTGGCTAGACTGTGGTGCTTTTGCATGCACAGCTGTGGTGGTGTTAAATATGAAAATGAAGCCATTTATATATTTTTTAAATTATTCTGGCAGAGGTGGGTTGGAGGCAGGGAAGGTAAGTACAGAAAGAAATGATAAACTGAGAGTGCTCAGCTCCATGAGTGCAGAAATGTGTGATTTATAGCCTATTGTATCTCTCGTGGTGCCTGGAATACTTGTCCTTCACGGATTCTGTTACTCTCTGTTAAATGCTGACTACATAAACATCTTCCAGTGAAAATCAGTATATTTCTACATTTGCAACTTTTTCCTTTATAAAACTGACTTAAAAACCCTTCATATAAAGGATGAAAAGAGTTTATGTGTTTTTTTATCACAGTAGTGCACATATGCACATGAGTACACACACTCTCTCTCTCTCTCTCTCTCTCTCTCTCTCTCTCTCTCTCTCTCTCTCTGTCTCTCTCTCTCTCTCAGTGTATGCTTGAAATTAAACCTCAGATCCTGCGTCTGAAATTTATGCTTCAATTAAGATGGGGGCAGCTGCTACCCTACTTTATTTCCCTTTTGAGACTTTTTTCTCTCTGGATCTATCCTTCCCTTCATCATTTTATCATCACATCAATCACTATATTTCCTCCTCAGGAACACGGCATGCATCACAGGCACATTTTTATGGCTAGAAAGCAAACCTCGCCTACTTGCCGCATACTGCTTACATAAACCTAATTAAGTAATTCTGCTGAGTGTATCATGTCCTTTTCATCGCAGTGCACGTGTGGTCAAAATAATAGGGGGCACTTTAAGGAGAGAGAAAATAACTTGAGAAAGGAGCCTAAAGAAGACACAAAACAAAAAAGTGAACGTCAATTTAGCTTTTTTTTTTTTTTGATACAATCCTCTAATGAGCAGGGGCACATTAACATCTCTGATAAAGGAATCTCCTAACTCACAGCATCGTTTTCGTTTCAGTTATTTTACTGAAAATTACCGTTGTTTTACAAATCCTTAGTAGTACATCGGAGTCAGTATATTTTGTGTGATTGAGTGAGGTATTTTCAGAGAAATTCTCTTACCCTCTGAAAATAATCCAAGAACTTCTTTCTAAATGTGCAGACTTGGGGAAATGTGATATTATTCACTAAAATGTAATATGCTTGAAGTCAAGACCTTTGTCTTTCTTTCTTAAGACTTAACCCCAGAGGCCCATACAAAGTCATATCTGGTAACTGACTGACAGAATGAATATCAAAACTTGTACTGACATTGCAGTTCTATATATATTTTTTAAAAATTAAGTTCAGGAGCACCAGTGCAGGTTCCTTACACAGGTAAACTTGTGTCATGGGGGATGTTCAGATTATTTCATCACCCAGGTGTAAGGCCTAGTACCAGTAGGTGGTTTTTCCCGATTCTCTCGCTCCTCTCACCCCCCCTCACACTCTGAAAGGTCCCATTGTGTGTTGTTCCCCTCTATGTGACCATGCGTTCTCATCATTGAGCTCCTACTTATAAGCGAGAACATGAGGTGTTTGGTTTTCTGTTCCTATGTTAGTTTGCTAAGGATAATGGGCTCCAGCTTCATCCATGTCCCTGCAAAGAACATGATCTCATTGTTTTTTTATGGCTGCGTAGTATTCCATGGTGTATATGTACCACATTTTCTTTATTCAGCCTATCATTGATGGACATTTAGGTTGATTCCATGTCTTTGCTATTGGGAATCGTGCTACAAGGATCATATGTGTGCATGTGTCTTTATAATAGAATGATTTATATTTGTTTGAGCATTATACCCAATGGTGAGATTTCTGGGTTGAATGGTATTTCTGTCTTAAGGTCTTTGAGGAATTTCCACACTGTCTCCTGCAATGGCTAAACTAATTTAAACCTCCATCAATAGTGTATAAGTATTCTTTTTTCTCCACAACCTTGCTAGCATCTGTAATATTTTTGACTTAATAGTAGCCATTCTGACTGGTCACAGTTCTGTGTTTTTAACAGAAGGAGTCATATCTCTCTCTTGTTGGTGGGACCAGTTGGTAAATAGTACAT